GTGAAGCACACATGTTGGCAGAGGCTGGCTGCTAGTCACGAGGAGCAGACGTCCCCGTGAAGGATTCTAGTGCTTTCCTAGATACAAAGAGATGCAAGAATTGGGCTCATCAAATCTTCTCCTGAGAATATCTAACTCTCTGAAGAGCTGTTCTGCCAGTTTTTCCCAGAGCACAGAGGGCCTCATTCCTGATCTCCACCTTGAATTCCTTTCAGGGGGTGTTGGAGATCAGCGGCTGCAGTGGTTAGTGACGTCATCCTTGTAGAGGCAGATGGCAAGCGCCAATTTGTCGTTGGCAGGCGCATGAAAGCAGCTGAACACAAAACAAAAAGTGAATGTGCATGCCTGCACTACAATAAAAGTTTATTTATGGGCACTGAAACGTGAGCTTCACATAATTTTCACATCACAAAATATTCTTCTTTTGAGTTTTGGGTTTTTTTTTTTTCCCCAGCCACTTGAAAATGTAAAACCACTCTTAGCTCGTGGGATCTACAAGAACAGGTGGTGGGCCAATTCGATACAGGGGCCATAGTTTGCTGACCCCTGGTGCCATACATTCACTCACCGACACAGAAAGCGTCCTTCCATTCCTCACAATCTAAGCTGTGAGGACAGCTCCGCTCTCTTGATGCGAGCACCGTGCTGAATAAAGAAAGTCGTGCTAGGAGAGGAAACGACAAGGCGGTTGGAGAGATGCCTGAGATCAATGAATTTAAACTCATCCACAGTTTGGGCCAGTGTTTGTCAGCTTTGGCTGGTGGTAGGGGATGCGGGAGCCGTGGTAAAACACATGGATGCCTAGATCCCGTGCCCAGAGGCTCTGATGTGGTTAGTCTTGGGTGTGGCCTGGGCATGGGGATGTTTAAAACCTCCCCGGGTGTTTCTGATGTGCAACCAAGGGTGAGGGCCACCCAGCTCACATAAGACGGTGTTGACAAAGACATTGCATTTGGGGATCACCAAAAACTGGAAGGTTTGAGCCACGTACAGCTTTTTTCCCTTTTGTTTCTCCTTTTTAACACCTCTTTCCCATTTAACAGGCGCGCGTCACTTTCTAAGTACAGCCTCCCTTGCCTGTCCCTTCCATACTTATTTCAGATCTGAAATAACCAAAAGAAGTTAGGACAGCGCGTAAACTGCAGAACGAATGTCATGCCACCTCTGTGTCATGTTACGCCCTAGCCTCGTTGTCCCAGCGAGTGTCTTATCTCTCAGGTTAATGCTGCCTTCGGCTGGTCTTTAGGGGAGCATTCATTTACCCAGGCAGGCACAGGCTCAACCTTGTCAGCCTGCTCTGGGAAGGTTGAATCCTGGGAAATTCTTTCCGGGCTCCAACTCCTGGGAGACTTCTCTGTAAACCAGAAAGGCGACTCGTTAAATTAGAGTCTCTGTCCCCTATCCTTGGATTCTTTATCTAGAAATGGATATATCTAGGAAGCCATTTTCAAGGTTTTGGGCCAGCATGAAATCAGAGATAACAAAACAGAAGGCTTTTAAAAAGCATCTCATAAGCTAAAGTAAATGACACTCTTTTTTTACCCTAGGGAATGTGTCTTTCAAGTAACTCAGAATTTCCAAGCTCCCCAGACAGTGTCATATTCCCCATACTTCGGGCCCTATTAGAACGAGATAGATGTATCTTTTTCTTGTCGGTTTCCCCCTAAGCCGAGTTCAGCTTCAAGGTTTGGTAGCACTGATTTCTAATACTTCTAATTTAAATATCAGTAACAAGATATCGGGATCAGAAATAGCTCTTTCTTTTTTTTTTTATTTTTTTTAACATCTTTATTGGGGTACAATTGCTTTACAATGGTGTGTTAGTTTCTGCTCTATAACAAAGTGAATCAGTTATATATATACATATGTTCCCATATGTCCTCCCTCTTGCGTCTCCCTCCCTCCCACTCTCCCTATCCCACCCCTCCAGGCTGTCACAAAGCACCGAGCTAATATCCCTGTGCCTTGCGGCTGCTTCCCCCTAGCTATCTACCTTACTACGTTTGTTAGTGTGAGTATGTCCATGACTCTCTCTCGCCCTGTCAAAGCTCACCCTTCTCCCTCCCCATATCCTCAAGTCCGTTCTCCAGTAGGTCTGCGTCTCTACTCCCATCCCACCCCTAGGTTCTTCATGACATCCTTTTTTTTCTTAAATTCCATATATATGTGTTAGCATACGGTATTTGTCTTTTTCTTTCTGACTTACTTCACTCTGTATGACAGACTCTAGGTCTATCCATCTCATTACAAATAACTCAATTTCGTTTCTTTTTAAGGCTGAGTAATATTCCATTGTATATATGTGCCACATCTTCTTTATCCATTCATCCGATGATGGGCACTTAGGTTGTTTCCATCTCCGGGCTATTGTAAATAGAGCTGCAATGAACATTTTGGTACATGACTCTTTTTGAATTTTGGTTTTCTCAGGGTATATGCCCAGTAGTGGGATTGCTGGGTCATATGGTAATTCTATTTGTAGTTTTTTAAGGAACCTCCATACTGTTCTCCATAGTGGCTGAACCAATTCACATTCCCACCAGCAGTGCAAGAGTGTTCCCTTTTCTCAGAAATAGCTCTTTCTTAATTGAACTTTAAATTTCTCTAATTTAGGCTTGAGGAAGCTTTTATCCTCTTTCTATTTAAGAGGTGAAGATTCATGTATTTTATGTCAGATTTTACATAATGTCTAAAAGAGTTGGCACCCAATGGGTCCTAGCAAGGCTAATCCATGATGGGGACTTCTCCAAAACTACCTGGGTCTGAGAGGACCTTCAGCACAGACACAAGCAGAAATACGCACATAAATCCCCTTGGATCATAACGTCTGGGCTCCTTTCTGCAAGATTCAGTCCTAGCCTTTATTTTTTAAGGAGATTTTACCTAAAACAGGAGGGAGAGAGATTTTTGTGGTTGTATTGTAAGAGTAGAGAACCTATGAACACAGGGCAGGATCACTGGGTAGGTCTCTAAGACCCTTCTAAGTTGGACTTCTGAGAATAAGTAGCATCACTTGGGAAAGGTATGAATATATTTAACTGTTGTCAAATGTAGAACTGTAGCACCCGAGATAGGAGGACTCAGGTAAATCACCAAGGAACTGAGAATTTCAAATTGTATCAATGTACTTAATCACAAAATTTTATTTTCTTGTTGTTAGACTCAAAAGACACAGTCATAGACCCCTCCTGAGCAGAGTCCATAGTACTATAATTTACTCAAAGTACTGCTTCTAGAAAGGAGCAGCAGGCTCTGTTTCTGTGTAGTATTGAAGGACTCCTACCCAGAAAATTTTCCTAGCTCTCTTAATCGAATTGTAAGAAACGAACTCTCAGGTCTCTGATCCTTTCGTTATCTTCTTCTTGATAGCATCCTTCTTCTACGTTCTATCCATGTAGAACCTGCCTGGTTGTGACAATTTGATCTTGGTGAAATGATGAATAAGCAATGTGAGAAACTAGCATGAGCATGAGTGTAGGCTTTGGATAAGCAGACAATTCTGTTTTTATCCTGACTTTGTCATGTACTAACTCTGCCGTGTATGCACACACAGACGCATGCATGTGTGGAGTAACTGCTTAACCTCTCCAAGACTCAGTTTCTTTATCTTCAAAATAGGGATGTTAATACCTTTTTTTTTTTTAAACATGGATGTTGCGGAATGGAGAGTGTCAGCCACCTAGAAAATACTCAGTAAATGCAGCTGCTATTTGCATAATTATCGAGAGTGTTGGTGGCTGCTCGTATCAATTAGGGCATTTTTGGTTTTGGTAGCTTCTCTGGTGCAGAGCCTTGAAAAAACTTACAAGCTGTGGTTGACAGCTCCACTGGTCATTGCTGATTCTTTCTTCTGCCAGATTTATCTTCTAGTAATGACCCGTGCGCCATCATTCTTTTTAAGAAGGCCCCTTCCTTTATTCCTGTAAGTCTCTCCTCTTATTGGCTCAACTGTGAGCTCTAATCACTATTGTGCTTTAACAAGAAGATGTTTATTATTATAGGTGCACTTATAACTTATTAAAATAGTAACTGAAAGAGTGAAATTCATAAGGGCTTATATTTTCCCATTTAGCATATTTTGTACTCACTGAGAACAGAATAAAAGAAGAACAAACACTTCTCTTAAACTAATTTGTCAAAACTTACTTACTTACGAAGCTCCATTTAATAAGAAAATTGTGATCACCTCCAGGCAGGAACTGTTTCTTCATTAATCATTATTGAATGGCATTGAATCAGATTTAGCAAACATGAAAGTGAATCAAACCCATTTACAAAATGTCATTATTTTTATCCTACATTCATTAAATGTGCGCCATGAGTCAGTCACTGAAAACAACACTGAGAAAATATAATCGCCAATCTTTGATTACATAGGTACCGAGTGCTTCCTTTGCACCAAGATATTGTGAAACTGCTAGAGATATCATGGTAAATATGTCATCAACTCTGTCCCCAAGGAGGTCACAGTTGAAAGAGGTGCCAACGCCCACGTATCTGTTAAAGACCAAACAAGACATTGTGTAGGCAACTTCTACATGGTTTGGCAAAGACTGTAAATTACCAGAAATTGAGTAGAGCAGAGGTTGACAAGGCCTGTGATAGACAGGGAAGGCATGACTGGGGAGGCTGGACTTCATTTGGCCCTTGAAGGATGGGGAAGATTTGGATAAACAGAGAATGGCAAATAGGGCATATCAGGTGGGGAGAACGTGAGCAAAAGCCTTAGAAGTGGAAGCATGAGCACGAGCATGGTAAGCTGAAAAAATTGTAGGGAACCTGGGCTGGCTGGGAGTGTGCTGGTGAGCAGTGGGAAGAAAAAAGGCTGGAGAGGTAAGTTCAATTACGAAGACCCTGGAGTCAGACAAATGATGTTGAACCACATGAGCCCCTGGAGGTGTTCGCGTGTTGCCATTGTTTTCTTGGAAGCTTTTCCCTGACTGTGTCTTTCGTCGCTGCTCTGCTTCCATTTTAAAGTCAGAATATTCTTTCACACTTAGGGGAAGTACTGGTTCATCAGGTTCCAACGAGCAGGAAGCTGGTCCTGGAACTCCAAAGAGCATCCGGAGCAGTGGTGTGACCCCAGTCACTCAGAGGTCACCGGCGCCAAGCACACGCAGCGTGACCTCAGTCAGCAGTCGAGTAAGTACACGGATGTGAAGGAACACTCCCGCTTCTGGGACTAAGCCTCACCACCATGGCATGGCTGGGCTTCAGCTCTCTGTACCTGAGACCATGTTGTTTATCTTGTTTAACATAGATGCTTCTTTATCAGGACTGAACCTCCTGCATCCTTAGCTCCTGGCAGGAGGCCTCAAGTGAGAAGGAAAGGGAAAGAGCAGGTTCAAAGGTGGAACTTGTTTGATGGGGGTATCGACGGCTATGTGGTTTCAATAAAATATAAATAATGCTCAGCAGTCTCTGATTTTGATCTTCCACGTTGCTTGTCAAGATCTTGACTGTTCTAAAAATTTTCCAAACCAATTAAAATTAGGAAACCTAGACTCTTGAAATATTTCTATCGTTTTCTTTTCTATACATCCATTAAAATAAACACATAATGGAGACTTAAATCGCATAGTGTGTGTGCGTGTATGTATGTGTGTGTGTATAAGCTGTTCTTTTAAATGAATGAATATCTAGATTTTTTGATTAAGCAGGAAACTCCATATATATAGCTGATATCTATATTTAAGAAATCTTTATATACAAACTACAATTCTTTGATTCAGCCAGTATTTAATGATGACCTACTTTATGTCAAGCCCTGGTCAAGCAAAGACTTGAAGGAAGTGGAAGAATTAACCATGCAGGAGTCTGGGGCAAGGTTTTCATCCATGCTGGGACAGCACTGATATTCAGCAAGTACATTACAGGAAGGTTGTTCCAGTCACTTTATGGCTGACCTCCATCTTGCATAGTCAGTGCCCTTACTTCACCAGTGTCTAAAAGATCTCTAATGCCCCTGGAGGAGCAGCCAGTGCAAAGATCCTGAGGTGAGAGCATACCTGGTGTGTTCAAAGACGAACAAGGAGGCCAGCGTGGCTGTTGTGAGTGAACGAAGGGAGGAGTACTAGGAAATGAGTTCAAAGGGGTAGTAGGGCCAGGTAGGGTCTTGGAGACCACCGTATGCACTTCGGCATTTACTCTGGATAAGACGGGGGCAGTTGAAGGGTTTTCAGCAGACTAGTGAGATCATCTGGCTTCTGTTTATACAGGAACTGGGGGCTTTTCTGAGAAGCAGCTGTAGGGAAATAAGAGTGGAAGCCAGAAGGCCAGTTAAGAAGGAGGCCATCGCATTACTGCAGGCAAGAAACTGAGCTTTGGAACAGGGAGATAGACATGGAGGTTGTGAGCATCCAGATTCTATAGATACTTTTAAGGAAGAGCCAAAAGGCATTCAGACAGATTGAATAATAATTAATAAGTGTCTTTAAATACTTATAGTCTAAATTTGCTGATAAGATAAGAGGCATATTTAAACTTTTATCAATATTTATAGTAAGCTCAGCAAGCAGTACTGTCCAGAAAAGTGCACGCATAGTTGGTGATTGCACTCGCTGCTTTGGCAACCTAACAAGGAATGGTATTCAAAATATTTAGCAACTGGTATGGCATGGGCACTGAGCCATCAGAACAGACCCTGGCGCAAGGTTGCACAGCATCCTGGGGGCCCTTCCATGCCGTGCAGTATCCTGGATTGCGGGGAGAACTACGGTTGAGGAGGAGAGGAGCACAGGGAAGGGGAGATGGACTGGGAGTAGCTCTGTTTACCAACTGATACAGAAGTATTTAAAAAAATTGAACAGCTGGTACAGCTGTACCCATGGGTAGCAGACTATCAGTCCAGTAACTAGTAAGTTAGTCAAGTTCGTTCTCAAAACAAGGCTTACCTTCCTAAGTACCGTCATTGGCGGGATGGGGGTGGGAGGGAATCACCCTTGTCATGTGCTAGTACCCTCAAAACTAACAGCCTTTACAAGAATATTTCTTTATTTTTTTATTTTATTGAAGTATGGTTGATTTACAACGTTGTGTTAATTTCTGCTGGACAGCACAGTGATTTAGTTATACATATATACTTTTTTTTATTCTTTCCCATTATACGTTTTTTTTAACATCTTTATTGGAGCATAATTGCTTTACAATGTGTGTTAGTTTCTAGTGTATAACAAAGTGAATCAGCTATATATATACATACATCCCCATATCTCCTCCCTCGTGCGTCTTCCTCCCACCCTCCCTATCCCACCCCTCTAGGTGGTCACAAAGCACCGAGCTGATCTCCCTGTGCCATGTAGCTGCTTCCCACTAGCTATCTATTTTACATTTGGTAGTGTATATATGCCCGTGCCACTCTCTCACTTTATCCCAGCTTACCCTCCCCCCTCCCCGTGTCCTCAAGTCCATTCTCTACATCTCCGTCTTTATTCCTGTCCTGCCCCTACGTTCTTCAGAATCTTTTTTTTTTTTAGATTCCATATATATGTGTTAGCATACGGTATTTGTTTTTCTCTTTCAGACTTACTTCGCTCTATATGACAGACTCTAGGTCCATCCACCTCACTACAAATAGCTCAATTTCGTTTCTTTTTATGGCTGAGTAATATCCCATTGTATATATGTGCCACATCTTCTTCACCCATTTATCTGTTGATGGACACTCAGGTTGCTTCCATGTCCTGGCTATTGTAAATACAGCTACAGTGAACATTGTGGCACATGACTCTTTTTGAATTATGGTTTTCTCAGGGTATATGCCCAGTAGTGGGATTGCTGGGTCATATGGTAGTTCTATTTTTAGTTTTTTAAGGAACCTCCATACTGTTCTCCATAGCGGCTATATCAATTTACATTCCCACCAACAGTGCGAGAGGGTTCCCTTTTCTCCACAGCCTCTCCAGCATTTATTGTTTCTAGATTTTTTGATGATCGCCATTCTGACTGGTGTGAAGTGATACCTCGTTGTAGTTTTGATTTGCATTTCTCTAATGATTAGTGATATTGAGCATTGTTTCATGTGTTTGTTGGCAGTCTGTATATCTTCTTTGGAGAAATGTCTATTTAGGTCTTCTGCCCATTTTTGGATTGCGTTGTTTGTTTTTTTGATACTGAGCTGCGTGAGCTGCTTGTAAATTTTGGAGATTAATCCTTTGTCAGTTGCTTCATTTGCAAATATTTTCTCCCATTCTGAGGGTTGTCTTTTGGTCTTGTTTATGGTTTCCTTTGCTGTGCAAAAGCTTTTAAGTTTCATTAGGTCCCATTTGTTTATTTTTCTTTCCATTTCTCTAGGAGGTGGGTCAAAAAGGATCTTGCTGTGATTTATGTCATAGAGTGTTCTGCCTATGTTTTCCTCTAAGAGTTTGATAGTGTCTGGCCTTACATTTAGGTCTTTAATCCATTTTGAGTTTATTTTTGTGTATGGTGTTAGGAAGTGTTCTAATTTCATTCTTTTACATGTAGCTGTCCAGTTTTCCCAGCACCACTTATTGAAGAGGCTGTCTTTTCTCCATTGTATATTCTTGCCTCCTTTATCAAAAATAAGGTGACCATATGTGCATGGGTTTATCTCTGGGCTTTCTTTCCTGTTCCATTGATCTATATTTCTGTTTTTGTGCCAGTACCATACTGTCTTGATGACTGTAGCTTTGTAGTATAGTCTGAAGTCATGGAGTCTGATTCCTCCAGCTCCGTTTTTCTTTCTCAAGATTGCTTTGGCTGTCTTGAGAAAGAAAAACGGATATACCATGTTCTTGGATTGGAAGAATCAACATTGTGAAAATGACTACACTACCCAAAGCAATCTACAGATTCAGTGCAATCCCTATCAAACTACCAATGGCATTTTTCACAGAACTAGAACAAAAAATTTCACAATTTGTATGGAAACACAGAAGACCCCGAATAGCCATTATGCTTTGTTGTAGGATACTGACTATAGTTCTCTGTGCTGTACAGTAGGACCTTGTTGTTTATCCATTCTATATGTAAGAGCTTACATCTGCTAACCCCAAACTCCTAGTCCATCCCTCCCCCAACCCCCTCCCCCTTGGCAACTATAAGTCTATTCTCTATGTCTGTAAGTCTGTTTCTGTTTCATAGGTAGGTTCATTTGTGTCATATTTTAGATTTCATATATAAGTGATATCATATGGTATTTATCTTTCTGACTTCACTTAGTATGATAATCTCTAGTTGCATCCATGTTGCTGCAAATACAAGAATACTTTATTAAGCAACACCTAGATTTCCCTAACAGAAATTCCCTACAACCGTGTATACATACATATATATAGGCAGTGTCTTTATTGATCTCACTTTTGCATTCTAGCTGATCTAGGTGGTCTTTTCTAAGACAAAAAGAAACACAAAGAGAAATATTTTCTGTTGAATAGACTTAATACAGCACAGTACTTTATGAAACAGGTTTGCTCTTTCATGATGAAGGGAAGACCTATGTAGAATTAGATGACGATCAAGGTCACAGCTTCTCAGTTTCTCCCATTTCTCAGCATCTCTTTGTTTCAGTGTTCTTGTCTGCCTTAGTATGTGAGAAGTACATTTTTAAAATGGAAAACTCTTAGAACATGAAAGTCTCTAACCTGTGCTCTGCTGTGATGTAACTTATTAATTTTAGGCTTCACATCCTGAATCTTCAGGGTATGTGTTACATGTTCATCACTGTACAATATTAATTGGCCTGTTAGTGCTCAATATTAATGATACCGCAGGGTGCCAGTTCGAAAATTTGCTGTCAACGTAATTGCAAGTTGGTCTCGCTTCATTGGAGAAATCCATGTGTGACCAACTTTTTGAAGAGGTGTTGAAAACGGACCTATCCTTTTGACCTCCATCACAGTCTTTTGATAAACCTTAGTGGTCTGTAGCAACTAGAAAAGTTAGGAGCCAGATTCCTCCTGCTACAGGTAGTATGTGTTGGAGGATACTCAAAGATCAAAACCAGTCTATATTGAAGCTGCATTGATTTGCATGCTAAGGAAGTGAGAGTTCCATCTTTCCCGAATGAGTTCATTAACATCTCCTCAGTGTCTAAGGTATGGGGTAAAGATAGGGCAACAAGAAGGGAATGCCTTTCTGTAGGACTTTTGAAGGCTCTTTTTGATTGTTTACGGAAGGGGGAACGAAAGAGTCTCTCTTAGGTTCGATCATTATCACACCGTGGTATCATTTTCATGGAAACTTAACCTCAGCCCAGTTCTCAGAAGCCCAAAATTAGTTTTTCAAAACTCAAGCAAATTTGTAATGATGCAGTTGTGAAGCCCCTATGGGCACAGGCAAAGTCGGGACAGAATTTTCCTTTATAATGAAAGTAAGTGTCTGAATTCTGTCACGTGTGCAAGCGTGTATTAGCAAGCAGGTTCCAAAAAAAATAAATAAATCACCTACTCCTGTAAGCTGGGGAAGTCCCCATTCTTTATCCTTTTATGAACTTTAGTAAGTGCCTTGCATGAAATTTCGTTCCAATAATGACGTAAGCAACGCTGTTCTGATAACCCAGCCTACTAGATGGGAAAGGTGGCATGGTCTTCTGTTAAGTGAGGGGTGCTGGAAGTAAGGGGTGGTTGAGGAGAGAACGTGAGGACAAATGTGGGACCAAACAGAGTTCTAACCCCGAGCACTACTCTGAGGCTATGAAGCTTGCCAGATTCTTATACATGGTTCATTTAAGTTTGGAGGTACTTGTATTAATACCAACTTTCCTGCTAACCATATGTTAGAACACTCACTAATTTTGTCAATGAATAATTATTTCAAACACCTTTTGTGCTAGTTAGCAAACCTCTTAGTATATATTTTAGAGAGTAATTATTGATAGTAAGTTTTAGAGTTATATGGACTCCAGATATCAGCTTGCTCCTCCTGAAGAGTAATAGACATAGATGTGGCTATACTGGTATATATTTATATGGAAGGATTTGGAAGTCAGTTACAGTCAGTATAACGGGTTTTGGGTTTTTTTTCCATTTCTACTTTGTGAGAAGGAACACGGTTTTGAAAATTCCATGGATTTGGCTGCCATTGAAAGCACCTCTGAGGATCACACAAAGAGTCATCACCGAAAAACTTCTGGCGCACCTTCCATAGCAGTGTCCACGGCCTCCCTCTCCTCAGGTGGGTATTTGCCACATGACTACTGTGTTGTAAACATGAATAAATCGGGTGGAGTTGACTCCCTTGTGTGGCATTAAATGGATGTTTCATGCCTTAGAAAATAATCATCCATGGAGGGAGGCCCACTCCATAAGAACTGCTGAAAAGCCTCTTGCATTCCATGCAAAATCCATGAATCTTGGATTTGGCAGGAGTATACAGTATACAGTCATCACTGCCAAGTGTCCGAGCTATACCAAATGTCAGTAGAGGAGTGCAGGAAATACAGCTGGCTCATTTGATACAAAAGATAGACACATGCCCAGAGTTCAAGGAAATGGTAGTTCCATTGATATGGGCGTCAGAAGTGCCCTGTATCTCGACAGATTAATCATTATTCCATGGTTTAAATAAAGAGTTCTTTGCAAGCAACGTTAAGGGATTATTAATAACCCTTTTCATTTGTATGACACCTTCAAAAGTATCATTTCACTTCAGTATCACAACAGCCCTGTGAAGCAGAGATTATTTATGTTGCGATTTTATTACCTACGAATAAGGAAACTCTTTAGGGAAACATGTCATAATTAGGAAGTTTGTGTCCCACGTGTAGATTTGAAATCATGACAAAATCCTCAACAGAAAGAAATTGCCACTTACTCGATGATATTTACCTAAAGCCTAAGGCTGGATTCTCTGTGCTGAGTTGGAGAGCCTCTCCCAGCTAGGTAGCCCTGAAGGGTTGTCTAAATGTGCATGCTTATTGTTGCATTTTGTCCAGGACTAGAAAATCGGTTCACCCGTTAAATGAAAAATTTTAAAGTAGCCAACCTCATAGCGTGCATTTCTACTACTTCTACTCAGTAGGTCCTGTGTTTTGAGTACATCCTCTGTGTCAGGTGCCGTGCTAAGCAGTTCTGTGTCATTTATCATTTCAAACTTAATCGCTCTCTTGCTGTCTTCAGTCTTTCTCATTTATAAGCCACTCTTCTATCTCAGCAGTGCTTTGACATAGAACTGTTTTATGGAAATAAACTGTGTCTTGGTAAGCTATCCACGGCATTACTGAGTTTTGCATTGTTCTTTATATTTTTAAAAGCAAGAAATTCTGCTCATGAAAGAATGTTGTGGTGCCTAAAGAAATAGAACTTCCTCTCAGTTTCCCTACAGCCACTCCCTTTTTGTGTGAAAGGAACTTGCTGTATCATTTCATTGCGTTTTGTGTCAAATATGAAAACACAGTAGATTCTCTAAATATTTAAATAAAGAATGGTTAATGTTTTATTTTTTTGGTAAGCTTAAGGGCCCATCCTGTGAGAGTTTTCCAAAGTGTATGAGCAAAGCAGAAGCCTTAAACAGCTTAAAACGTTAGTATTTTATAGTAGAGCATTTGCCCTCCTATGCTCAAAGGAGAAATGAACACATCAGTGTTGGTAAGTCAGTCCAAGGAAATTTCAAAATACTGTTAAAAAATGGAAGTACGTTAGCATAACCAGCACGAAGGTACTGACTCTGTTGCTTTCATGACACTGTCTATGCCCTATGCCGAGAAAGAATTGGAATAGCGATGAAACATTCGCAATGAAAAGTGAACCCTTCTAACAAAACAAGATGATTCACATCTTTCTTTTTCCTTCCTCCAGACCGGAGTCGATCTGAGTTAGATTTGAGTGGGTCATTTACAGAAGACTTAGAGGATACTGTAAGCCTAAGAAGCAAGTCTGTCCCTGGGGCTTCAGACAAAGACTTGGTAAGTTGGGTGTGGAAGAGTCTAATGATCATGAAGAAAGGGCACAATCTTGTTCCAAACCTGTCCACTTTGAGGTGAGGATGAGTTGAGAGTGAAGTGAGGATATACAATAATTTCTTCCTATTAGTCTTCACAACTAACGTATAAAAACAGCCAAAGAATGATTTAGCAAAGGTAACGGGTGGGTGGTGGTGGGATGAATTGGGAGATGGGGATTGACATATATACACTAATATGTATAAAATAGATAACTATTAACCTGCTATATAAAAAATATAAATAAGATAAAATTCAAAAAAGTAAGATTGGCGATAACAAGTGTTAGTGTGGATGTGGAGGAAAGGGAATCCTTGTGCACTGCTGGTGGGAATGTAAATTGGTGCAGCCACTATGGAAATCAGTATGGAGGTTCCTCAAAAAATTTGCAAAATTTTGAACTACCGTATGCTCCAGAAATTCTACCTCTGAGTATTTATCTGAAGAAAATGAAAACACTAACTTGTAAAGATATCTGCACCCCCATGTTCATTGCAGTATTATTTACAATAGCCAAAACATGGAAACAACCTAAGTGTCCATCAGTAAATAGATGAATGAGTAAAGAAGTGGTGGTATGTGTATACAGTGGAATACTATTCAGCTACAAAAAAGAATAAAATCCTGCCATTCGCAACAACATGGATGAACCTCTTGGGCGTTATGCTAAGTGAAATAAGTCAGAAAGACGAATACCGTGTGACCTCACTTATATGGAGCATCAAATAAAAGAGAATGTAATTCCAACAGGATGCAAAATATTAGTTTCACATGTGGGGGTGAGAGGAGTGCCAGGGAAGAGAGGAGAAGCAAAAAAGAAAGGTGTCCATGATTTAAAAAAAAAAAAGTATGCATAATATAATCCATTTGTGTGTGTGTATGTGTGTGTGTGTGTGTATCCTATCCATACCATCAAAAATTTTTAAAGTTTGATCATTAATGTTAGTGGAGATATAAGTTTTTTATATTACTTGAAATTTATCTACATTGCTTAAACTTTTTGCTATAAAAATGTATTACTTAAATAACCAGGAAAAAAACAATGGGGGAAGAAAAGTAGAATCTGGGATTTTGGACAAGAATCTAGTATCTAAAATAGTTTATTCTATTGGAGAGATTTTCAAGATACATTTCCCCATTTTGACGGTATATATACACACACACAAATGTGCCCCAATTTTTTAAATTAAAAGATAACTTTCAGTACATTGCTCAAAGTGAATCATTTTAGTGAGCAGGGAGGTAGGAATCGAACGCCGAGGTCTGTGTGATTCCAAATTTCGTATTCTTTCCATAAGGCAAGCATCCCTAGGAAGGAGACCCCAATCCTCTGATGGTGCAGTTCAGGTACCATCAGAGTGGAAGGCAAAAGAGAAAAACCTAGGAATGGGGTGATTTCTAGATATTTGTATCTGATTTTTCAAGTATTTAAGAAAGTGGTTTTTTAAGTGAAAAGACTTTCTAGGAAAGAAATAAACCAAACCACTGATATTTTTTCCCATCCTTCCTTAGGACTACTTGGAAGAGACAGAAGAAGGCATTGATGACTTAGCGTCCTCTCGGTTTTCTGCAAACACCCACAGTCTAGCAAGTGGCCTGTCAGCCGTAAGCAATTCTCTAGCATGCGCTGGAAGAGTCTTCCTCCGGTGATTTTCTGTGCATTTCCAAAGGAGAGAATAATGTTCTTCAAAAACGCGTGATAGTGATTTAAAAGTCATTATAGTCTCCTGCTTGCTCTTTGTCCACAGAGTAGTTTTCACTCAAATTTTGTGATGGCTTTTCCTAAGGCTTCTGATTCCTTCCCTCTCCTACTTTAAAAACCTCTCCTCACCCAGGTGTTTTTTTTTTTTGCGGTACGCGGGCCTCTCACTGCTGTGGCCTCTCCCATTGCGGAGCACAGGCTCCGGACGCACAGGCTCAGCGGCCATGGCTGTCGGGCCCAGCCGCTCTGCGGCATGTGGGATCTTCCCGGACCGGGGCACGAACCCGTGTCCCCTGCATCGGCAGGCGGACTCTCAACCACTGCGCCACCAGGGAAGCCCCTCACCCATGTTTTAAAACCTATCACTCCCTAGTTCAGGGCCTCGTCAGCGGAAGCCTATGAATTATCTCAGTTCTCAGCTGTTAAATTTCCCTGCCACCGTTCTCTCAACTCCCCAACTATCCTCCACTCTACCGCCAGTCACTTTCCTAAAACATGTACCCAAGTAGGTTTCTCTCCTACTCACACATCAAGTCCATAGCTTTCCACTGCCTGCGGAATAAAATCCCTTCTTACTTTGGTGTTTGAACCCTTCTTTGAGAGAGCTTTAGGAGCTCCCGTGTCCTTATACCCATCTATATGCCTACAAGTCTTGTCTTTGCTTCTCTGATTTCTGTCTGTTGCTCTAATACCCTTTTTTCTTTTGACCTTTGGGTGGCTTCCTTAAAGAATTCTCAAGCAGGCTCTGACAGGAAGTGGACCTACCTAAGTGTGCCTGATGCTGACTCAGACACTGTGAGTGTTCAAGCTTTTCCTTTTTTCTAACCATACTTCACAAAATTCATGGTACAGGGAATCTAATTAGGTAGGCAATTTGTCCAGCATTTGTCTCTTTCTGGCTTGTATACAGTTAACCAGAGGTTCTCTTTTAAAAGGTAAATAACATGATCAGAATCCAGGTATTCCAAAGAAAGAACATTTGTTAAACATTAGAATCTGAGGAACAGTGAAAAGATACGTGGTCTAAAATGATTTACCACGAACAAGGCACCTTTAGAGTAAACATCTCTGTTTAACTCACAGCATTGGCTTGGTTAAGAGCGTAAAGTTTGGTTAGTAGTAAAATTTCTGTAACTTCTTCATTTTCTCCCAAGCTTCAGCAGTTGTGGGTCCTTAAACTGTCTTTTCTATATATGGATGTCATGCTTACAGAGGACCCTCTTTGAAGAAGTGGCGACAGAGGAATGTGGTGTAGATACAAGTCAGTGATACAAGGAGGCAGTGAGGTATGGTGGAGAGGTCCTCAGACTAATAATCTTGAAATCTTGGCTTTATGTTTTCAACAAAAAAATTAATCAGTCGGTCTAAGAAAGAAATGGGAAATTTTATTGGAGCCAAATTGGGGATTATAACCCAGAAACAGCATCTCCAAAAGCTCCAAGAACTGTTCCACCCTTGTGAACTCAAGGCACAGTTATATAAGTTTTTTGAGACAGAGGGCTGTACATTAAATGATGTATTATTGACAGTTTATACAATTGAGATCTAAGTGTCATCATGTCCCCTTACAAGAGCAAGAAGGAATGTTATCTTTTACTGAGTTTCTTATTGATGCTAGGAGAATGTTGCTTTCTGTCGTTGAGCAGTTATTTCTGCGAATGGGGGAGGTCTGGTCGATGCATAATACAGATACACAATGTACAGTGTGGGGAGAGAGGAGGCCAAAGGGTAAAGAAGATTTTTTATGTTTAAATTTTTCTTATCTTGCCATAAAATATGAATTTTATGTCACAGTGTCTTGGCACTGCCAACAATTTCTGTGAGCCAGACTTTACTTATATGTAACGTGAGGGGGTTGAGGCTTATTCTTGAAGCCCTTGAAGCTCAATGCATGGTCCGTGGACCAGCAGTATTGTATCACCTGGGACAGAGACTGGAAAACGCTGTCAGCTCACAGAGCCCCTAGTGTCTCAGTGATAATTTCATAGCACTCCTAGGCCCAAAGTAATACCTGACTAGCCCATTTATTAAGTAGTTAGCTTGAAAAACAAATTTAATAAGTACTGGGATCCTAACAACTTAGTAGCCATTTGAAAAAATAATATACATAACTTGAAAGAAAAATAATATTTTTATTCCAGTCTTAAATAGCCCCTGATGGGATGTGCGTGCCTGATGGGCACTACATGACTTGTCAGATCTTGGAATCTGATTGGGTAGCATCATTTTCATTTCCTGTTCCCCGTTGATTTTTGTGCAATACTTGCTTTTTGTCATAGCAACTGCCCCAAACTCAGCTTCACGTAGATAGGACTTCATTGAAAAGAATAAGGTGGAATTTAATGTTAATACTGTGAACCACTGTTCGTAGTTTGCATGGTGTCTGGTAGTTGTCGCTGTGTTTCCCTTGAAATTTTAAAATATCCTGCTTTGCCCCTGTGAGTTGGCTCTGCTGCTTTGGGATGCCGAGACACACAGTTTGGGAGCTGTGGACCTAGGAGTTTGTTAGAAAAGCAGAATCTCAGACCCCCCCGGGACTGAATAGATCAGAATCGTCATTTTAACGAGATCCCCAGGTGACCTATATGCAGTTAAAAATATATATATTTATTCATTTTGACTGCATCGTGTCTTAGTTGCGGCAAGTGGGATCTTTAGCTGCAGCATGTGGACTCTTAGTTGCGGCACGTATGCGGGATCTAGATCCCTGACTAGGGATCGAACCCAGGCCCCCTGCATTGGGAGCATGGAGTCTTACCCACTGGACCACCAGGGAAGTCCCGACCTATATGCAATTGAAGTTTGCAAAGCACTGCTCAAAGACACTTGCTATCATGAAAATTTTGATGTTTTGTTTTATGAATAAAAAAGATGAAGTAGGTCACTCACTGGCTTTCTTTAAGTTTTAATCTCCACATAATTATGGAATCCTTGGTTTGCCCTTGCCCTTGACTTAAGCTTGGAATAGATACTAGCCACATCACCCACTTCGTGTTTTTTGATCAGTCTCTACTCTGAGCAATTGGAGGAAGGTAATGACTTTTGTTTTATGTATAAACAAAAAAGTATAAAAAGTAGGAAGTCTAAACTCTCTTTGCACTCACCATAGTCCTTCCCAGTGGTTCACAGACAGGCTTTTGAAACTCCTGGGTCACTCCTGAAAGCCTTCCAGGTGGCCTTTTGTGACAGTCGTGTTGCTAAGACATAGAGTTTGTGCTGCTGGTACTACAGGATAATTTTGTTACGTTTAATTTAAAATATGTCTCTTGCTATTAGTGTGTCATCAGAAACTTCATTCATTCTGGTACATTTGGATAGAGTTTCTTTTTACATTTTAATTTTATTTATTGGTTGCTGTGTTATTTTCTTCTTTAGGGTTCTGTTTTGTGGGTTGCTATTTTATAGATGTGTACAAAGCCATGGTCTTATTACTACCCATGTGGCTGCACGGCTGCTCAGGGGGGAGCCTGACAGCTATGGGCATGTGACGTTCTCCTGGCATGCCCTTGTTAAAGATGCAGTTTTGTTACTGAACCAAACTTGGGTCTGCTTGCCTGGGCACGGTAAAGGCAATCTGCTGACACCAGATCGTGGTGAAGGAAAGTACAGTGTAGATTGTAAAAGCACCAATATAAGGAGGACAGGTGGTTGGTGCTCTATAAACCCCAGAACTCCCCAAGGGGTTTCAGCAAAGCATTTTTAAAGGCCAGGTGAGGGACGGGGGTTGCAGGGTATGTGATCAGCTTGTGCACAGTTCTCTGACTGGTTGATGGTGTGCAGTCTTTAGGCTCCAGAAGGTCTGGGGGCTACATGTTCTTGGTCATCAAGTAGTTAATGTCTTCCAATTTGGTGGGAGTTTTAGCATCTGTAAAACAACTCAGGAAGTGTGCATCTGATACTCTTATCTGGGTGCTTCAGAGAGGAGCTATAGCAGAGGATATGGGGGCGGGTCTGTCCTGGGAAGGCTGCATAGGGTCTTGCTCGGTTAGAGTTCTGGCTTCCCAGAGACTGATGGGGTACTCTAGGTAGATGTCAGAGAGAGAAGCTTGTGGCTTATGCTAGCACAGAAATAGGAAATGAGTTTTTCTTTGTCCTGGTCAATGCATTCTAGACCTTGAAGTAGATTGACCTTGAGTCTACCAGTGAAAAAGGAGAATGCTGCAGGGATGAGGAAAAGAGATATGATGGGAAATGCCTCAATGACCCTGTATTCATTAGAAGCAGTGAATAAACACAGGGTATTCACTAACCCGAGAAGACAATAATGCTTCCCCTCAGCAAGTTTCCTGACTTCCTTACTAATGGTCCTAGTTCTTGTCCTTTTTCAGGCTTTTATACAATACCAGAAAGACAAGCGATTTTTGCTTTCTTCCTTTCACCCTAAACTTCCCTGCTCCTTATAGACAATGGGAACTGTAACTGAATGAAGGGAGGTAACCTCTGTGAAGAGATCACTAGCATAACACTAGATGCCTCTTTTCATCTTGTTTATTTCAGACCAGCCTGAACAGCATGATGAGTGTTTACAGTGAAACAGGAGACTATGGCAACGTGAAGGTCAGCGGGGAAATCCTTCTCCACATCAGCTACTGCTACAAAACTGGCGGGCTCTACATTTTTGTCAAGAATTGCAGAAATCTGGCCATAGGAGATGAAAAGAAACAGAGGACAGATGCGTAAGCATATACCATATTCCTTAGACTATTTCGGTCACTGCATATGTGAGTATGTGTGTTTGTCACGTGTGTTTCTTTTTCAGAAGCGTCTTAGCATTCCCTAGATTCAGAAAGTTGATCGTCACTTTCTTCCTGTGCCAAACTTCTAAATATTCTTTGATGTGCATGTATAATGGTTGCATTCGTGGTTACCTGATTTTTACTTTTTTATTTTACTTCTATTCTATTTTATTTTATTCTATTCTATTTTACTTTATTGTATTGTATTGTATTCTATTCCATTCCATTCCATTCCATTCTATTCTATTCTATTCTATTCTATTCTATTCTATTCTATTCTATTCCATTCCATTCCATTCCATTCCATTCCATTCCATTCCATTCCATTCCATTCCAGCACTGCACGGCTTGTGGGATCTCAGTTCCCCGACCTGGGATTGAACCTGGGCCACGGCAGTGAAAGCACCAAGTCCTAACCACTAGATGACCAGGGAACTCCCAGATTTTTAAAAAGCTATTACTCAGCGTGACTCAGGACTGACAGATTTGTAGTTCACACAGAGGCAGCTCTTTGAGATAGAAGGCTGACACATTGGCACACCCCAGGATGTATAAGAGCATCCTGTTAATTTTTGTTCTGGGAAACACTCCAGAGAAAATTACCAAGCTGTTCACCCAGTTGAACAACTTGAGAGGGCAATTTTGAAGCTCTCAGGATTTCAGGGACGAGCCTGGGAGGGCAGGGATGAGTATAGCACATTGGAAAGAAGCTAGATACAAAGATATGCCATGCCTTCCCAGGACCACTGCCAGGTTTGATGATTCACTAGGAGGACTCACAGGTCTCCACACATAATCAGCAAAGGGAAAAGGCATATGTGGCAAAGTTCTAAAGAATCCAGGCTTAAGCTTCCAAGTATCCTTTCCCAGTGGAGTCACATGGGATGCGCTTAAGGTGCTTAAGTCCTCCAGCAACAAATTGTGGCAACACATGTGAAGTGTTGTCTACCAGGGAAGCTCATTGAGAGACTCAACTGGGCATATAACAACAAATTCCCAGTCTCCCAGAAGGAAAGCAGGGGTTCAGCAGAAGCCATATTATTTCCACAAATATTTTAGTCACAGTGAGCCACTTATATCTGTTCTGGGAATGATGAGAATCCTCCTGAAATCCAGGTTCCCACATGCCAGCCAAGAGCCGAACTTATAAGCAGGCATTTCTAAGGAGAGCAGTCTCAGACCTGCTGTTCACCTTTTCTCTACATAAAGATGACCTAGGTTCAGTAAACAACTCAGCAAAGCTGTTTCCAACTTAGACAAACAGATGGATTCTGAGTACAGATTGGTCCACTTACCTCCTCAGCTAAATATCAGAGAGCTTCAGAGCTTCAATACCATCATTTAGACTAGCATGGAAAGGGATCATCTAAAGCCCATCCTGAAGATGTGCTTCAGGACTCTGGTAGCATCCTTTACATTTCAATCTTGTACATTTCTGAGTCTGCCATGATGCTTCACTCCAAGAGACTCCTGGGACCGCTCAAGGCAAGGTATTGGGTAGAATTGCTGTTGTGATTTCCTCTTTGCACCATTTTTCTTCATCCATCCATGGCCATTGACTCCACCCATCAGAAGTCCTGACATCTGAGTGGAGAGGAAAATAACCCCATATTTTGTGAGACCATTGATCATAATAATAGATTACATTTATTGAGTAGTATAATATGTCAGTTTCTTGTATGGCTCAGCTAATTTTATCTTCACAATGCCATACGTAAGCTCTTGAGTTCACCGAAACCAGTGAGGCCTGGAGTGATTCAAACCCAGCTGGCTTGACTCCAGAGCCCACACCCTCTACCACTCGACTTTACTGCTTCTCTCTTATTGAAGGTCCAGAGTTATATTTCAAGGTGTCCTGTTATGTAGACAACATTCCCTTTGGTTCTGTCTCTTATACTCACTAGCCTATTCCCTTTGCCTCTTTTATTCACTGATGTCCCCGAGCATTTCTTGCAAAGTAGATGTTTCCCAAGAATTATTTTCATTTCTTTATTTTTTTACCATCTACAGTTATGTCAAGTCATACCTTCTTCCTGACAAGTCTAGAAATAATAAGCGCAAGACCAGAATCAGAACAGGCACCAATCCAGAATTCAATGAAACACTGAAGGTAAATAAATATTCTCTCAGAGTAACTTTAGTGATACAGTTTACAGTCTCATTGAAACTACAGAGGATTTGCATGTCAAGGCTTATATGTATTTTAGCAAAGTAGAATTTGAATCAATTAATGTGATACCCTTGGCTTTCTGTTTCTGGAAAAGAAAAATGTAAACCACTCTTAATCTGTTTTTCTCTGGTGCTCCTGAAATTGCACCTTAAGTAGAGACAATCCAGGAAAATTACATCTGACCTGATACATCCTGTCAAAAAGTATGTTTCACCCTTGGGAAAACTGTGTTTTTTCTAGTTTCCCCTGAAAGAAGTTTGTCACAGTTTTGACAGTAGGTCTGTACCCAATCACTGTTCTGCTAACACAGCGTGAAGATGTGCTGTTTCTTGTAAGGGTTTTGGAATCTGGCTAAATTTAAGCATGTGGTTAGTGAACAGTGGAGATGCAGGGCCGGATTCCAGAACTCTCAGAGACAGTGGCCCAGATAAGAGATGACCCAGGCCCCAATTCTAGAGAAATGACTTTTCCCTATAGGCTTCCACGTAACCTCTTCTCTCACCCTGGACCAATCTAGCCTGGTAAGAAAGATCCAGGGAGATGGGGATGTAGACGTTATTGCCAGTTGCAGAGTAATTTATGGATCTTGTGCCCAGAATGATGGAGTCAGAGTCTACCATAGGAGGAAGTTGGTGAGTTGGGGTATGTGTCGGCGGGGTCATATGTGAAAGCAGGAACCAATATCAAAACAGATCAAAGTGAAAATGAATGAATATAGGCAGAGGGTGAATCCAGCAGCCATGACAAGATAGCAAAGATGAGCCCAAGCAGAAGAGAAAAACAGAGTGACGTGGCAGATCCAGGAAGCAGGGAGCCCAGGTTGATCATGCCAGGAATAGCAAGGATGGGTGTAGACGCAAATCCGAGATCAGGAGTCAGTCAGTCTGCAGCGTGTCCCAGGTGGTCATTTGCTTAGGATAATCAGGAGGTTTTGAGGGTGTATGGGCTTGTGGCCCTGGATGATGTTCTGCTGGAAAAGGCAAAACCACGCCAACAATATTTCCTTTCTGCTCAACCTACGTATATATCGATTCATCCCTGCACTTAGGCTGAACTTTATGAAGTTTGGCATTTGCAAGTTTCTCACTGTCAGTCTATCCTGGATTTGGGGCTTCTTGTTATAACTAAAATAAGACAGATAAATTAGAGAATTGATATATTAAACATTGTGCTTACAAAGTAGTTGTTGACAAAATAATTAGGCAAATGAAAAGCAGGTAAAACTGAAAAGGGGACAAGCTTCATCACCTGACACTTTTTATACAATATCTGAAATTTATCGACTCCCCCCCCCGCAAACAGTCTGTTGATATATGGTTCCGTGCTAAGGCTCACACAAAATGATTTTATGGAATAGAACCTCGGGTGTAGCAGAAACGAAGAAAAATGAAGATTTTTTTCTCTTGGGTTTGTTTTGTTCATATTACTAATGTATTTGATCTGAAAGCTGGTGGTAGTAAATTTCAACCTGTCCTAGAAGTGGGCAGAGTCCTCCTTATGGAGTGTGATGTTGTAAATCTGATTTTGCAGTATACCATCAGCCATACCCAGCTGGAAACGAGAACTCTGCAGCTCTCAGTCTGGCATTACGATCGATTTGGACGGAACAGCTTCCTTGGGGAGGTGGAGATTCCTTTTGACTCATGGAACTTTGAAAATCCAAGTGATGAGTGGTTTGTCCTTCAGCCCAAGGTAGGAAATGCTTCCAGATGAGTCAAACAGTTATACAAGTAATGAGCAAAACTGATGTCACAGGCCTAAAGAATCTGGAGACTTCCAGTTGTCAAGTGATAATCTGAAAAGGTTAGTGCAGCTAATTTTGGAATAATATAATAAATGTAAATCCATTCTTTTGGAAATCCTTCTTCTTCGATACAGACTGTCTGTAAAATCAAGCCCCATAATCATATATCATATTAATTTGATCTACTAAAAATATAGTCGTCATTCGAAGGTTGCCATGGATAAACAAAAGAATACATTATATGATCCTATTAGAAAGAGAAAGCGTTCATTTTCACATAGACAAAAACAGCTCCATAGAGCACGATCAGTCTCAAAACATTCTCTCTCTTCCTCATTCTCCACAATTCAGACATGAACAGGTGTGCTCTTGCCTTAGCTCACATGAGGAAGTGACCAGCAGCTAAAGTTTCTGGTTTCCTACATTCCTACTTTTGAGATTCAGAACCCAGGTCTTGAGTTACAGTCAGAAGAAGAAATCTCAAAGCTGGTTCTAGAAATTAAATGCTACTATAGTATGTTCTAAACTAAACCAACAGTACCTGAGATTCACTCTGTGCAATTGATATCTCTACATTTACAGTAGTTTTTGAAGTCAAAAGTGAGGTGGAATAAAGGTCACATTTACGTAACCAAAGATTGTTCTTTATAGAGAGAAGGGCAAAAAGAACATGATGGTAAAGATAGTGGATGCAGATCAGACTTCCTGGGTTCAATCCTGGCTTCATGACTCTGTGTAACCTTGGGCAGGTTACTTAACTTCCCAGGCCTTGGTATTCTCACTGGTGATAAAAGAATTGGACATCAGTTATAGGGATGCTGTGAGGCTTGATGAAGCCTGCTATGTGATGTTTTCAGTATTGTGTCAGGCACATTGTAAACTTCTCACTAAATGCTAGGTAGTATTTATGTTACATTGGAGTCCTTATATTGCAATTAACAGAAACCCCAGCTCATACTACTCAAAAAAATAAAAGGAAATTATGGGCCAGTGATTATCAAGCATGGCTTGATCCAGATACTCAGATCTTAGCAAGGCCCTGGAGTCTCTTGGTCTCTCTTCTCTGTGTTAGCTTCATTTGCAGACTTCATGCAGTGTGGGCCTCCCTCACTAGCTCCACGTCTGCTTCTCTTGGACACCACAACAGCTGCAAACCTCTCATCCTTGCCTCACACTGTCCAGGAGAGGAGAGAGTTCCTCCTCCTCCCAATAGTCCAGCCAGTGCCCTGGCTCTGGTTCCTAATTCTCATTACATTATTTGCCCATCCTGAGCCAATCATTCTGGCTAGGGAGGTGAGATACATTGAGTGGCTTAAGACAATCAGAGCATAACTCTGGCCTTGAAGGTGGTATTGCCCCCAAAGAAATCCTGGTACAGTAGTACTAAAAAAAAAAAATGGTGAGTGGATGCTAGACAGCAAAAAACAAGTGACCATCGTCAGTAACACTTGTTGATCATCAGTAGCAGCATCGTTTATGTCTCATGGTTACAACCATCAGTGTGGGGTTAGCATAGTTATCCCCATTTTATAGAAGGAGACTGAGACTCAGAAATTAAATACAGTATTCTAGTGGATTTTATAAGTGTTGACCTTAAACTTGGTGTAAATAACTCATGGGAAATCTTTAGGAGGTTTAATTGGGCTACGGGTAAAATGGACAATGAAATAGAAATCCTCAAACAGGAAATAACCTCATTCCCATGACTAACATAAATGTGGTAGAGATAGGAAGTGCAGTGTTAACAAGTCCATGATAGCATAACATTTCTCTGACATTAAATATGAGAAATATTTGGTCATTACAGTACTAAGTTTCTTGGAATTGAATGAAAAGCCTCAACATAAAGGATAGCAATTAATCTGACTTAACAGTCCCCTGTCTCATGCTTCCTTTTGTGTAATGGGTGAGCATCAAAGAATCATAGAAAATGTCCAACATGTCATATGATGCGTGACACTGATGAAGGACAAGTGACATGTATCTTAGTCCATGAAGTTAATTTGTCTGTCAGAAATACAACATGAAAGCACAGAGGGGCTCTTTGGAAACCAGCTTGGAGGGTTTCCAGTCAGTTTCTTGGAAATCGTTGGAGAATTTGCACTGAGATGATATCAAAGCTCTCCCAGGCCTCTCCCAAGCATCCTCTGTGCTTAGGGGTCAACAATTTTCCATGGTAATCACCTTCACATTGACGCTGAGTGGTTTGACTTTCTATCATAAGGGAGAAGCATCTCTCTGAGGCTGCTCAAGGTGGAAACATCCTGATGGTGTTTAATGGCCCTGGAACTCCTTTGGTCCTCTGCCAGAGGCTCTCTTTAGAAGTCTGTCCTCAGGCTATTGTAAATTTTTCCCACGTAGGCAGAGAGCCAGAAATTCCTGGGAGCTTATGTACCCCCTGCCACAAGGCAACCCTTAGCCAATAACTGATAGATGGGGGAGTTGGAAAGCTCAGTTCCATTACTGAGAGTGGGAAAAGCTCTGAGGCGTTATACTCCAGAGCTCTCCTGCTGGATCTAGCTGTACCTTTGCCTGGCTTCCTCCTCTTCCCCAGCCTATTTCCCCAACCCCTTCACTGGCCTGTCCTGGGAGCACTTGCTTAAATAAGTCACTTGCATAAGAATCCTCACCTCAGGGTTGGCTTCTGGGGAATGCAACTGAAGTTGGTGTCTCTAATCCCTGTCATCTTTTTCCACCAAGCTCCCTCTGACACATACAGAGGAAAGCCTGCGGATTATTCCGACTTGCTTAGATACCATGCCTTCCGAAACCAGGGAGGCAGGATACCAAAACATGCTCTGGACGCCGCCTCCTGCTTCGTGAGTGGCTCATCCTCGGGCTGAGCTGGGCTCCCTCTGGTTGATTACCAGCTGACTCTGAGAGCTGTCATTTCGTTCTCCGTCTGCCCCTCAGTTGTTTCAGTGCAGGAGTCACTTCATCAGCTACAGCTAGAGCATGGGCAGCCTTGGAGACTTGATGCTTCTTGTAGATTATCCAGCTGAGGAGCCGAAGTGTGAGCTACAGGGACCAATTTCCTTAGTAATAGACGATCGGAATTAATAGTCTTTAAACATTCAGAAATACTGACATCCTTTGGCAGTGGGAAGACTGGAAAGACACAGTGCCTTATTGCTTATCGACTCTGTGTTGGTGAAAAGTCCCTGGACACCTTCCTTTGTTTTTTTTTTGTTTTTGCGGTATGCGGGCCTCCCACTGCTGTGGCCTCTCCCGTTGCGGAGCACAGGCTCCGGACACGCAGGCTCAGCGGCCATGGCTCACGGGCCCAGCCGCTCTGCGGCATGTGGGATCTTCCCGGACCGGGGCACGAACCCGCGTCCCCTGCATCGGCAGGCGGACTCCCAAACACTGCGCCACCAGGGAAGCCCCTTCCTTCGTTTTTGCTGGGTCTTACAACCCATATGGAGGCCAATGCAGACGGAGAAAGAACTCAAGATGCCAGATGTACTTACTATAAAGTAGTTTCACAGTATAACTCCCATTTACTGCATGACGTGGGACTGTTTATTAGCTATAACTCGCTGTCTTACCGGAAGGCATGTTAGGTAGTTAGGCAAGAAGAGTTTGTCAGTATAAATTGCCTTTCGAGTGTTCCCAGAAGGTGTGATTATATAAAGGATCTTTGAAAGTCAACAGCAAGCTTAAGTGGTTTTCCAAGGAAATCTTCGCCATCCCACCTTCAGGCAGAGTCAGTGTAATATAAGGTCCCGTGAAATGATTGCCTAGCTAAAGGGCTCTCTCTTTATGTGGCAGTTTGAGCAGACTTATGTCCATGATATATGACCCCACCTTAGACCTGTAAGTGTCTGAGTGGAAACTCTGCTTCCTACTCTGATGGAAAGTGGATCTCTATCTCTTCAAAAAGCCTTCTGGAGCAGAGGAAGATGTCAGTGCTTTACCTATATCCCCATTTTCATGCATACATGGCTCCCCATGGCTGTCCCTCCTGCCAGCCAACACCTACCAATCTTTGTAGGAGAGGCGTCCTCAGGCTGCTGGAGTGGGCTTGGAATGTGGGCTCCCCCCACCCCCCTTCGTATGTCATCATCTCTCCCATCCTTTAAGGACCAGACATGGGCCCCCTCTTCACCCCATTCTGGATTATTCTCTTCCCACAGTAGTTTCTTTGTACTTGTATTGGGAACAACTGTCATCATTTGTCTGGCGTTGAGCTTGCTGTGTGGTAGAAGCCCTCTTCTCCCAGCAATCAGGACCAATAATAGTAGGTCAGTTCATAGACTAAGTCACAGAAGTCAAACACATACCCACTCCCCGAGTGCATTTCTTAATCATGTACTTTAACTTAAAACAAATACATGTGCATTCATTTTCAGGTCTTCTAATATAGGGGCACTTTGTTTTGTTTGAGTATGGTTTCAGTGATTGCAATTCTGTCATATGCTCTTGGCATAAATTCTGACCCTAATGTATCCTAATCGACAGTTGCTAGTTTGCGTTTCTCTAAAGTGAAACAAAGACTTAAGAGTACTTTCAAAGTCAACCAAGTGCAAAAACCTTTCTAAATATTCACCATCTTGTTCCTAATCTTTTACAGCTTGGAGCCCAAATATAATCCAATAGCAAATTTATTTTCAAATCTTTAGTTCTGATAAGTCGGTCAACCTAATTTTTATAGTAGCAGCTGTCTTTTGGGACTCTTCAATTTGTGACACTCAGTTATATAATTACAGCCACAAATAGGCCTGGCATAGAGCTTCGGGGACGAATGCAGCTGACTTAAGCATGCACTTCAGCTGATGGGAGCGGGCACGCACGGTCTTTGTAGAGGATTCTGCTCTTCGCTGGGAATGGAGAGCATTCGGGCAGATGAATAGAGCTTCTGTTGAATATATATCTCCTGGATAGAATGAAAATTCATTGAAAGCCGGGTCTCTCTCCGTGTCCCCGTAGCACTTAGCAAAATGCCTTAAAATCATTACCACAAGAAGCCATTCCATATGTGTTGGTAGAATTGAATAAACTGTATTGAATTCTGCAACCTTTTTCTGAGTAGGAGTTGGTTGAATAATGTAAAATGGTAGTATGCCAGGACAGGATGTTGCCTTGGAATTTCCTTGCAAGTGTACCAAAAATACCCCCAAGATATTAGCTATGTGCAGACTGTAAGATGACTCCCTCCTTTGGATTTCTTTTGTGTGTGACTATAATGCCATAAGACTTCACCTTTATTATTTTCTACTCCCACAAGATTTGAGGACTGTGTTTATACCAAGTCACCAGTGTATTTGAATTTCAGCTAGAAAGTAATGCGACATTAATAAATCCCAATAATGCATGTTTTGATCTCTACAAATACACTGCACGTTAGTATGTGACACCTGCACATATAATTTTTTCTGCCAATACATTTTCCTGCCCAAAGATCTCAGCTGAAAGCAAACAGAGCTTGCACTGGTTAACTGTTGTTGTATAGAAAGCTACCTTAAATCTTAGTGGCTTAAAACAACAATTTATTACTATTGCTCTTGATTCCGTGGGGTGACTGGACTCAGCTAGGTGGTTCTTACTTAAGGTCTCTCATACGGTTGAGGCTAGGTGGTAGACGGAGGCTGAAGTCATCTGAGGGCTTGACTGGGCTGGTTGCTCCAGTTGGCTGTCTCATACTTGATGTTGGCTGCCAGCTAGGTAGGAACTCAGCTAGGCCTGCCCACTAGGTAGGAACACAGCTAGGCTTCTCCATGTGACTTGGACCTCACATCATGTGTTCCCAGAGGGAGAACCCCAAGAATATTCATTCCAAGAGAAGAAGTAGAAGCTGTTCATTTTAAGGCCAGGGCCCAGAAACTGGTACATTATCACTTCTGCCATATTCTACTAGTCAAAGCAATCACAGATCCCACTCAGATCCAGAGAGGACAAATACCTCACCTCTCTTTAGCCGTAGTACCAAAAAAGCAGTTGATCTCTTTTATCTGTCATAATATCCATTATAATTTTCCATTTGTGACTTTCACATAAACTAAAATTTACTGAAACCATCAAAACAATTAGAAAAGTCCTCTTACAAGGCACTCAATTTAAAATAATTAAATATTAGATGGATAGTCTATTCCACCATCTAATATCATTTGTGCCCCTGGCAAGATAGCTGAATAAAATACTTCAAATGACTTCCCCACCTTTACTAATAAGTTTTACCACCACCAAGAGGAAACAAAGTAAGGCAAGGATTCCTTTTGTAATGGTATCAGTCTTTTTCGCTGAGGCTTGAACAGCCTTGGGCTTTCTTGTGGGTTTTGGGGTTTCTGAATTCTTTCAGTCTGCCCTCTCTCAGAGGAGAGCAGTTCTCAGCCCTTGACTCATTGCTCAGCAGTCAAGTTCCTGCAGGAAAAGTCTGAGGAAAGTACACTACTTTTCTTACCCTATTTATGAAAAATCAAAGTTCCGTTGACTCAGTGGCAAACGGGAGACCTATAGAACAGAGGCTGTGGGTATGTGCTCACACTGCATTTTTAAATTTTAAATTTGATTTTGAGAAGACTGTAGATCCCCATGCTATTGTAAGAAATAATACAGAGAGATCCTACATACCCTTTACCCAGTTTCCCCCAATGGTCACATCTTACAAAGCTATAGTGCAATGCCACAACCAAGGTGGTGACATTGATACAATCCACTCATCTTATACAGATTTCCTCGGTTTTCGTTTGTGTGTTTGTGTATTTATTTCTGTGCAGTTTTGTCACATGTGTAGCTTTGTATATTCACCACTACAGCCAAGATACAGAATGGGTCCATCCCCACAAGGATCCTTCATGCTCTTTTATAACCACACCCACCTCCCCCCCGCCACCCCCATTCCTAACCCCTAGCAACCATGACTCTATTCTCCATATCTATTATTTTGTCATTTCAAAAATGTCATGTAAATGGAATCGTATAGTTCGTATCCTATTAAGCTGACCTTTTTTCACTCAGCATAATTCTCTGGAGATTCACCCAAGCTGTTGTGTGTATCAATAGCCATTCCTTTTTCCTGCTGAGTAGCACTCCATGGTGTGGCTGTACCACAGTTTATTTGACCAGTTATCTATTGAAGGACATCTAGGTTGTTTCCAGTTTTGTACTCTAACAAATAAAGATGATACAAATATGTATGTACAGATGTTTTTCAGTGTGCACAGTCTTTTACTTCTCTGGGATAAACGCCCAAGAGTGCAAATGGCTAGGGTGTACAGTAGTTGTATGTTTAGTCTTTTAAGAGGATGCCAAACTGATTTCCAGAGTGGCTGAACCATTTTACAGTCCCACCAGCAATGCTGGAGTGAACCAGTTTTTCCTCATTGAGTTTTAATGAGGGGAATTACCAGTATAGCTTTTCATAGTTGGTGGCTGGCAGCCCAATGTGAACCAGACATTACTGCCTACTTGCCCCTTCTTGGACACTTAGGAAGGCCTTGAGACATCAAGGACAGACAGAGAGAAGGATCTTCTGGGGCTGTTTTCAGTGACATCTTTATTCCTGCCTCATACCCCAAATTATTTGGGTATGTTCAATGATGGGTCCAGTTCTCAATCCATCACAGGCACTCAGTGTCCGTTGATTCACCGAACGTGTGTTATATATCTCCTCTCAAATTCCTTTTACTTTAGCGTTAAATGTTTTTTGTTTGTTTGTTTTTGCGGTACGCGGGCCTCTCAAATGTTGTGGCCTCTCCCGTTGCGGAGCACAGGCTCCGGACGCGCAGGCTCAGCGGCCATGGCTCACGGGCCCAGCTGCTCCGCGGCATGTGGGATCTTCCCAGACTGGGGCACGAACCCGCGTCCCCTGCATCGGCAGGTGGACTCTCAACCACTGCGCCACCAGGGAAGCCCTTTAGCGTTGAATGTTATACTCAAATAGCTTCATAGAGTTTTCCAGCCTCTCTTTTCTCATGCCTGAGGCATCTCTTGAACCAATAAGTGCCAACATAGTTGAATGGGAATAAATTGTCACATTTATGCTACCAAGTAAATATTGTACATTCGAATATGGGCTACAAAATTACAAACCAAGCATTCTCACTTTTTCTTTTCACCTGTCTCCTCTTGGCCAGGTGGAATTTGCTGAGGATATCGGCCTTCAGTACAAGGGAGAGCTGACAGTCATTTTACGTTACATACCCCCAGAGGAGAACCTGACACCTCCACTAGGACAGCTTCAAGGTAGAGAAAACAAATCAATGACTTTGATCGGGGACATTCCATTTCTAGAAGTGTGGAAATAGGGATCAGGGGACTATGTTACTTTTACATTACACAGATGAAATGGAAAGGTTTAGGTGTCACTGTCGTTTAAGGAGAGTCGAAAAGTATACACTGTGTATGGGGAAGGGTGTCAGATTCTTACAAGGAAAGGACAGAGTTCATACTTAGAGACCAACCTTAATGTTGAGATTTGTTTCCTGGAAGTCCAGGACATATAGGATCTTCCCCCCTGCCGGGTGGAGTGGGGGGGTAGTGGGAGATGGGGGATGGCCTGCTGAGAGGGGAGGTGCAGAAAGATGCTGTCTGGATTTATGACATTCACAGCTGCTCAGGGCATCCTGAGAAAGGAATTAACCTGGAACAAAAAATACAAAGGAAAAATCCAGATGGAGTCAACTTTTTTTTTTTTTTTTTTTTTTTGCGGTATGTGGGCCTCTCACTGTTGTGGCCTCTCCCGTTGCGGAGCACAGGCTCCGGACGCGCCGGCTCAGCGGCCATTGCTCACGGGCCCAGCCACTCCGCGGCATGCGGGATCTTCCCGGACCGGGACACGAACCCGTGTCCCCTGCATCGGCAGGCAGACTCTCAACCACTGCGCCACCAGGGAAGCCCGGAGTCAACTTTTAAATCCCTTTTGCCCTTCTTCTTTCTTCAACTCCTACAGGCAGCCTCCTTTATCTTTCTTTTCCTATCACCCTTGTCATTGTGACCCTGTGCAACTAAATTACTATCTCTCAGCCTCAGTTGCCTCACTTCTTAGGGATATTGCAAGAATTAAATAGGTTCATTCATACAAAGCACTTAGAACAGTGTTAAATAAAGGTGGTGGTGGAGGCGGTCGTTATTCATGTTGAGCGTATGTCATCAGAATAAAAATGTGATGCGGGAAAAGTTTCCTCTCACCCCCAAATGTAATTGTGTCTGAGCTATATAGCCTTTAGAGCTGGCCCAGCATGGAGTTGACAATGTACGCGACTAAAATATCCAAGACGGGAGTTAGGAATTTTCTCTTTGGGGGTCTTGGCACATGTGTGTGGCTTTCATTGTAGCTGTTCCTCACAGAGAGCAGGGATGTGGCCCAGGCAGCTCTCGGGGTCTTTTCTGTTTTATCCCTTTATATTGTTATAGGGGAGTATTTAATTTTTAAAAATTTATTTGCTTATTTTTTTCAACAAAACTGAAAGATATATCCAGAAGGAATGCAGTGGTGTAAAAGCATTTAAGTGATTACATGGAAAAGTATACAATAATGTAAAGATCTCATTCACTCTGAAAATGAAATCTTTGTGGATTTTATTTGTAAATTTTGAAATGGAATCCATGATCTATCTCTTCCCTTCTTTTCTTTCTCTTCCCCTCCCCCCCATTCTCATTCTCTCTTTTTCTTTCATTCTCTCTCTTCCTCCCTCATTCTCTCTCTTCCTCCCTCATTCTCTCTCTCGCTCGCTCGCGCTCGCTCTCTCTCTCTGGCTCTCTCTGTGGCTCTCTTTCTCTCGTTTTCTCTGATGGCTGATGCAGGAAAGAAGCCCTTTAAACGAGGAAAGAAGAAGGATTCTCCTGTCATCTCTGGAGGAATCCTAGAAGTGTTCATCAAAGAGGCGAAGAATTTGACAGCCGTGAAATCAGGAGGCACTTCTGATAGCTTTGTGAAGGGGTAATTTTGTTTGAGCTCATTTTCGATGGTACTTAATGGGAGATGAAAAGGTCTGTGATCCATGAGACGGTGGCTGTGGGGCTTCTGTGTTGTTCTTATTCTAAATGTGCTAGGAAAGAACTCCCCTTCACCGCTGGCGTTTACATTGAAAACAGTGCAAGAGAGATCTGCCTATTCTAGCTCTCAGCCTGCTTCTAGCATATTTCAGGATGTCCTGTGACTCTCGCCCTCAAGACTGGCAAATTTTCCTGTGAGATTAGTTTCTCACAGGAGGGGAAAGTATGGTTTTCTACATGTAATATGCTTGTATTGTGCTTTTTTATCATTTGGTGCTGACTATATGCAGCGTCAACAAAAATATTGGATCCTTGGTATTTTGCTCTCTTGGGGGAAATTGTAAAAAGTGGAGATGTCAGGGCATCATCCCTAGAGATATCCACTGGAGAGTGCCTTGAGGAAACTCCAAGACTGCCTCTTGGCCATTTGTGCCCACTTTGTGGAGCCCTGGGCAGTTTCTTGAGGGAACGCAGCCCTTTTAATGGACATTCTTACCCATTCAAGGCAACCCAAACAACAAATCCCTCCTGATTTCTATTTGAGATTTTTCTCCTATAATTGGAAGAACTAGAACCAGCAGGATATTTTTCATTCATTGCAACAAACACATACATGCACACGTTCCAAGCACTAAGTCCTGCAGTTCCAAAAATAAGACACGGTCCCTGCTCTCACAGAGCATCACAAAATGCATAAGGTAAAACAAAGTCCCGTGATGCCAGCCGTGAGGTTAATTCTTTGAGTCAGATGACAGTATCATTCCTCTCCTCAATCCTTCTTAGAAAAGTGTAATTTTTCCTACAAGGAAATGAGTCAGTCCTTTATGCTCACACAGTCTAACTTTGGTAAGGGCGGTAATAAGGAGAAGCGGATGTCTGGGGCTTCCCCACTGGTGGGTGTGTGTGCCTGAATCCTGGTCCATCTGTCCTTGACTCTTTCTCCCAGGAGGTTTAAGCACAGAAGAAATGCTTTCTGTGGATTCTGCCGTTGAAATTTGCTTCCCCAGCCCTACCATCTAGCTCTGGCCGCTTCCTGCTCACTGGTGGGATAAGGGTATGGCTTCTCGCCCATGAACTCATTGTGGCCTTGCACGGATGATTTAACATCTTCTGGAATAGTTTTTACTTTATCATGTTGAACATTTATGAAGCAGAGATAATAAAGGACTGTATCTTTGTTTTATATATATATATATTTTTTTTTTTTCCTTTTTAAAGGCCAGTAACTTTCTAGTAAATTCTCTCCCTAGTTACACTTAAACATTGAGCTGATTTTAAAGGGACCTCAGATTTTTTGAAAAAGAGCATGAGAGAGCAAGAATAGACCTTTGTGTAAAATTTAATATTATATATAAGTAAATATTAGGTCTGTCCGTGAGCCAACATAACAGTGGCTTAAACAAGACAAAAGTTTTTTCTCTCATATGTAAACAAAGGCTAAAGGTAAGCTATCCCATTGGCCAGAACTTAGTCACATGGCTATGTGAGCTACAAGGGAGGCTGGGGAATGTAGTCTTTATTCTAGACAATCTTGTGCCTAACTTTAAAAAAATGAGGATTTTTGTGTTTTTTTTAGAAAAATAGGGAGAGAATGAATTGGGAGGTAAGCAGTCTCTGTTTGGTACATGAAATGAAATCTCAAGTGTCATAATGTATCTTCTTTATTGTAAGGTCATTTGTGGTATTTTTCAGGTTTGATGTACTAATTTCATACCCATAAGTCTCCTTCCCTAAAGTCTGCTCCCTGACTCGTCAGGTACTATGATCAAAAACAGAGTAGAGAAAATGAGACAGTGAAGGGAGGGAAATTGATAAAAATATGTTACTAGGCAGGTTACCACTGTGAGCAACTGGGGCTCAGTTCCACTTAGGAAGCATCAAGGAACTCTGTGGAATGTACCTTAGGATCATCCCTTCAAGGGACAGGGAAGCTGGGAGACTCATCCACCAATTTCTAAAACTCATTGGTTGAGGGTTGCTCCTGGGGACATTAAATTCCCAGTAATTCCAGGGTTTCCTGCACAGAAGCTGAGTCAGCTCACAGAGCACCAAAGTCCTTAATTAGAGAAGCAAAGAGACACAGGCACTTGAAGTAGGAAGCTGTGCACATGCCAGGAAGTGCTCATCGTGGCTTCATGTCACCTCAGAGGTGGGCCAAAGGTGATAGGAGGCAGAACATTATTACATAGTGTCTCCCACAGGAGGTATTTTCATTTCAGTAGGAGGGAAGGACCAATACAGGATTAGAAAGGAGAGGACGGGGGACTTCCCTGGTGGCACAGTGGATAAGACTGCGCTCCCAATGCAGGGGGCCCGGGTTCCATCCCTAGTCAGGGAACTAGATCCCACATGCATACCACAACTAAGAGTTCGCATGCCACAACTAAGGAGCCACCTGGAGCCCGCCCGCCACAACTAAGGAGCCCACGTGCCGCAACTAAGACCCAGTGCAACCAAATAAAGAAATATTTTTTTAAAAAAGAGTGTGGGCATTTTACTATTGCCCCACTTAAAAGAAATAATAAACTATTCCACTAAATAAACCCAGATTTAAGCATATGTGATGCTGGGAAAGAAAATCAAATAGACACACACAGATAAACACACACACACACACATACGCACGCACGCATACACACACACGAGGAATTATGGGAAATTGACATGACTACGCAAGGGTGCCTTTTTCTGCTTTACTGTCTCACTGATGGCTTGATTGTGTTTTCTCCTGCAGCTACCTGCTCCCTGATGATAGCAAAGCCACCAAGCACAAAACTCTGGTAATAAAAAAGAGTGTCAACCCTCAGTGGAATCATACTTTCATGTTCACTGGCCTGCATCCCCAGGATATAAAGAATGTTTGCCTAGAACTTACCGTCTGGGACAAGGAGGCCTTTTCCAGCAACATCTTTCTGGGAGGAGTTCGTTTGAATTCTGGAAGCGGTGAGGGACTTGGTAAACCTGAGATAGTCTGTGACTTGGCGTGGGGCAGGGGAGTGGTTCCTGCACGTTTGATGTGTCCTAAGTGTATATGTAGTTTCCTCTTAGCCGACTCTCGAAATTTCCACAGATGCTCCATTACTTTAGCCAAGGATTGGTTCATTGTTAAAATTACTACTATGTAACTTTGTATCCTTCAGCTAGAAGTGTGGTGTGTATAATGCTTATATTCAGTCCTTTCATAAAATACCATTTACACTTCAGTCTAAGTGAATTTCAACTACTTTCTTGGGCCTTACTTCAGGATTTGCTCGGGAGAGGATCACTAAGACAGCACATGCTTCTGACCGGGGAGAGAAGGACTTCCAAGACGAACTTGACTTCAACCTCTTCTCAGTTCTGTCCATGCTTGCAGCCATTCCACTGCTTGAATCGAAAGGAAATCCATTTTTCCCCTAAAAAATAATGTCTCATGTTGTTCAAACAGGTCATGGAAACACACCACTGATTCCACAAGACACAACTTTAACAGGGCGAATTGGGGAGGGTGGGGGGAATTACAGCAGTAGAGCACGTGTATAGATTAGGGAGAGCCAGGACTAGCTCTGCCACTAAAACAAAAACTCCCAGTCAGCCTGTTCTTCTCTTGTGTTAACTCAGTCTAGATGAGCCAGCTTTCTACTTAAACTACCAAAGTGAGGGAGAAATGAGCCCCTAGGGCCATCCTGGTTTGTTCCCCCATCATCTAGGCAGAGGAGAGGAATGCAGGCTACGAAGGATGTAGTCCATGCTAACTCCACTCACTAGATAAGGTGACAACAAGCCACTGAAGGGCTCTCTGGTCAGCGGGTCCGCCTCAGAGGTTGATAGGTGTCTTCCAGAGGATCAAAACGTTTCATTTGTAAAGTGTAATGCTTCCCTTTCCCTTCTTTAGGTGTGAGCCATGGGAAGACCGTGGATTGGATGGACTCTCATGGGGAAGAGCAACGCCTCTGGCAGAAGATGGTAGACAATCCTGGGACTCTGGTAGAGGGCGTACTCATGCTCCGTGCCAGCATGGGGAAGAGTAAGCTCTGAAGGTACCAGTTCTCCAAAATGAGGCCTCTTGGGACTGTCTGGGTGTTATTTCCTACCAGTAGCAGGCTTGGGACCTGGAGTCTGCTTCCCTGCCATTTCTCACCTGAGGGTATTGGGACATGAGAGGAGAGATATCAGTGTTATGAACACCTAGGGTCTTGCCAGGTGTCTAAAAAAGCATGTACCTCTCTATGTGCATGGGCCAGGGCTTTTTTGATTGGGTGATAGAAAGTATACCACACTGTCGTGTCAACAAGCAAATTGTGCAATGATTCATAGGCTTTATACCGTAGGGGAAATGGCACATGCTTATTTGAAGCTGCAGTTGAGATTGGGAGTCCCCAAACTTTTTCTAATTTGTGAGTGACTTTAGGTTTTCTCTAGGTTTGAGGGAAAAGGGGGCCACTTGGAATGTGGACCACTTGAAGTGTAAGAAGAGGGGATAGTGGGAATCCCCATGATCCAAAGGAGGCATTGTGGGTATGGACGCTGGGGCAAGGGCATGGCCCTCTTATTGTGGCCAACTTGTGGATTAACCGGGTAGGTTTTCAAGGGAATTTTACTAGTAGGAAAGCTAGAATCATCTTCAGGCTTATTCTAGCTAATTGTTCCATATTCTGAATTTCTTCTTGAATTTTGAAAACAGGTTTAAGAATATATTTAGCATTATTCTTAGAAAGGGGAATAAGCAATCCATAATCATTAAAAAAAAAACAGGCTCTCTAATTCTAGAAAATTGAAGTTATTAGTCTAGTGTAGCTTAGTGCATATGGTACATTTTTTTAAACTCACACCCATATCTCTATGTTGCCCTTCTTAAAAACAGAAAACAAAAAGTGTACGATCGTCACTACTTCCTATATAGGAAATATAAATTGTCTTCAGACTTGATATGACTGAGTATGTCTTCAGAGACATTTTAGGGGAGGTGAGAGAGGGTGGCGATGGTGAAGCCTGGAGACATCTCTAAAGTAGACAAAATGAGGTAGATTCATTCACTAATAATAAAAGTGGCAAAATTAATCAATTCCAAAATTTATAACTCAAACTCAAGATGAGCATGAACTTTATGTATTCAGACCTTTGCCACAGTCAGAGCAATTCTGTGTCGTGACTTCATAAAATCCAACATCTAACTGGGTATTTCCATAATGCAAGACCCAGGTGTGCCTAAGTCCATCAGAAACCTGTTGGTGTGGCTCTTAAAAATAAAAGGTAAATTGATCTTTAGGTTACTCTTTTTTAAGTATAGTGTAGAAGTACAAAAAATATTTTTAATCTAAGTGATACATGTGAATGGCATAAAACTGAAATGGTTCAAAATTGTGAAAATTAAGTCCTACCCCTTCCTCTTCCGTATCAGAATATATTGACAGCCTCATTCTTTTTTATGGCAACAGGGTATTACCTTATGGGGTATATTAAATTTATTTAACCAGTCCTATCAAATGCCACATTAAATATGGTTAACTAAGCTCTCTCTGTTTGGTGGCTTTTCTAAGCAATCTTTTTTTCAAAACTAAACACTTTGAAATTCAAAATGAGATGTGTATATTGCACAGCAATTCTACTTTTGGGTATTTATCTTACAGAGATAGATACATATGTGAGAAATGAGTACATACAAGGGTGTTGCTTGCAGAAGATTGGAAACAACCCAAAAGCCCTTCAATAGAGGCCTTTGGCAATATCATACATGCCTAATTTTTCTGTTTCATTAATTGTTCCCTTTCCTTCTCTGTTAAAGATTGTTAACATTGGATTCTTTGATGCTTGTTCTTTCTTTTCTCCTCACTTTATCCATCCTCTCCGGCATTATCATGTATTGTATGCTCATGGTTTTATGATTATTTATGTGCTTACAACTACAGATTCACATCCCCAACCCAGATCCTTCCTCTCAGCCCCGCATCCAACCGCCTGTATGATATCTCCACCAAGATAGCTCATGCTCTTGACATACTCAAAAATGAGCTCTTTATTCTACCTTCTCTCTTACACCCATGTCTTTCTACTCCAGTACGTCCTGTCTCAGCACCTGGTACCATCATCCACCAGGTTATGCTAACTAGACACTAGATAGTGATCTTTTTTTTTATTGACATATAGCTGACTTAACAATATTATGTTAGTTTCAGCTGTACAACATAGTAATTTGATATTTTTATACTACAGTTATTCTAAAACGTTGAGAGTACTCTGTGTGCTGTACATTACATCCTTGTAACTTATTTATTTGATACCTAGCGGTTTGTACCTCTTAACTCCCTTCATCTGTTTTGCCCCTCCCCCCACCCCTCTCCCCTCTGGTAACCACTACTTTGTTCTCTGTATCTGTGAACCTGTTTCTGGTTTTTTGTTTTTTTTTTTCCTAGTTTTATTTATTTATTTATTTTTGGCTGCGTTGGGTCTTCGTTGCTGTGCGCAGGCTTTCTCTACTTGTGGCGAGCGGGGGCCACCCTTCATTGCAGTGCGTGGGCTTCTCATTGCGGTGGCTTCTCTTGTTGCAGAGCATGGGCTCTAGGCACGTGGGCTTCAGTAGTTGTGGCATGTGGGCTCAGTAGTTGTGGCTTGTGGGCTCTAGAGTGCAGGCTCAGTAGTTGTGGCACACAGGCTTAGTTGCTCCATGGCATGTGGGATCTTCCCGGACCAGGGCTCGAACCCGTGTCCCCTGCATTCAGATTCTTAACCACTGCACCACCAGGAAAGTCCCCTGTTTCTGTTTTGTTATATTTGTTCATTCGTTTTATTTTTCAGATCCTACATATAAGTGAAAACACAGTATTTGTCTTTCTCTGACTTATTTCACTAAGCATAATGCCCTCCAAGTCCATCCATGTTGCTGCAAATGGCAAAATTTTGTTCTTTTTCCATTGTATATATCTACCACAGCTTCTTTATCCATTCTTCTGTTGATGGGCACTTAAGTTGCTTTCACACCTTGGCTATTGCGAATAGTGCTGCTGTGAACATTGGGTGCATATATCTTTTCAAATTAGTGATCTTTGATTTATGCCTCTTCCTTACCCCGAGGCAAAATCAATCAGGGCATCACATTGATTCTACCTCCTAAATATCTCAAAAGCCTGTCCAGTTCTCACCATCTCCATGCCACCACCCGAGTACAAGCCACCGTTATGCCTCTCTACGATTATTACAGGTCTCCTAGCTGCTATCTTTGCAACCACTCTTGCCCTCCCTCAATCCACTCTCCATACGGTGGCCAGATTTTCCCAACATGTTATTTTTAAATGTTCAAACATGCAGAAAAGTTGAAATGATTTTACAGTGAGCACTTACACCTACCACCTAAATTTGACTTCTACCGCTAGCTATACTTTCTCATCATTGTCTATCTGTACATCCTCAAAGTGCTCTTTTAAAAAATGCACACCTGATCATGCTTTAGAACCCTCCGTGGCTTTCCATTGCCCTGAGAATAAAATCCAAATTCTTGCTCGGGGCCTGCCAAGCCCTGTCTGAGATGGTTGCTTCCTCCTCTCCAGCTCACCCCGGGCCATGCCTCTTTCATCTCCCCTGCTCTTCAGCCACGCAATGCATTTTTCTGCTTCTCAATCGTGCCAGCCTTTACTCCATCTCATGGCCTTTGCAAAGGAATCTGCTTGCTTGTTCTCCTCATCGGTCTGATTTCCATTCATCGTCCAGGTCTTGAACGTAAGTTACCTGCTCAGGGAAACCTCTCCTGACCCCCTTCTGCCTGACTAGGTCACAACAGCCTGCCTCTCTTTCCCCTTCATTACATACATCGCCATTTTCATAAATGATTCACGTAATGAGTCCTTTAATGCCTGTGTCAGTTCACTCCCCACCACATCCCTAGAATGTAAGATTCAGAAGGGCAGAGACAATATTTATATTTAAATTGTTTCACAGCTATATCCCCTGTGCTTAGTTCAGAGTAGGTAATTTGAAAATATTTGTGGATTAAGTGAAAATGAAAAAAAAAAAAGTAACATCAGAGAATGTGAGACCAGATAAGGAAACTGGGACCCACATAGATCAAGAAAAATCTCCGACTGTGATTGCCGATTGATCTTTTAAAAGCAACATTTCTATAAGTACTTTAGTTACAACCCTAAACAGCTCATTCCAGCTTCTCTTGGCATAGATAAAAGCACAGAGTGTGCTCTCCAGCCCAGCATCTCAGCTTCTCAGAAGAAGAGACCATGGCCTTGCCTGGAGGATCCTACTCCTTATTTGGAGCGCCCTCAATTTTCCCTCAGTTGAATCAGACAAGTTGTAAAGGGACATGGGCAACCTTACAAGCCTGACCTGATCCATTCAGTTTGTAAATAGCACCCGCAGGGTATGTGGAAGGTCCAGTGAATCGGCTCTCATTTTGCTTATGTTGTTACTGTCATTGGAATTATCAGGATGTAGATTTTCCAGGTCACAAAAGCACCAACAGCAAAGATATTTTGATGGGACTTTTTATTTTGGCGTCCTTTTCCTTAAGAAATTTAAAGAAGTATATGACCAGTCATCATTAAGTATTGATACATAACTAATGTGTGAATTGAGCCCCCCTGATTCACAGTAATAGCAGCAGCATCACCTGCTACCCCAACGTTTCTATCGTGCAGGGGAGGAGAAACCTGTGGAAAAAAATAAGGGCAAACCCACTTTTAGAAGCAAAGTGGATGAAGATATCAAGTCCCAGAAGCATCACAGAAAGAAATACTGTGGCATTTTGGGCTGTGGTCAGTGTTTGTTTTTGCTTCCACGTAGATATTTCACCCTAAACTGAGCATTGCCTTTAGAAGTTGGCAGAAGGGCTTTCCTCCCACAATGGTATATTTATGGCCTCTGAAATTAAAGAAAATAAATAGGACGAGGAAGTTTATATAGGCAAAACTATAACAAAAATCAGATCTTGCAAGGTTTGAGCAAAGAGCCGTGGAAATTGGGCCACATCAAGGATTCCAAAAGATTATCTGAATCATCTGGGGTGTGAATTTAATACATTGATTCCAGAGCATTGCTCCAAACCTACTGAACAAAATCTCCAGAAAACTTCATCATTTTCATCAAGCTTCTTAGGTGATTCTAATAAAGTGGATCACAGTTTGAGAAAGACTGCATTAGAGGACAAATTATCTTGACTATATTATTTGGACCCACTCTACATCATGATGACAGATTGGCTTTGGCTAACTTGGACATTATTAATTGCAAGGCAACCATGGTGAGGTGGAAGGAGCCTAAACTTGAACTCAGATTGACATAAACTCAAGTCTTGACTACTTACCAGCCATGTGACCTCCGTCGAGTTAATTATCCAATCTAGGCCTTGATCTAGTTGCCTGTAAAATAGGGATAATTGGGCTGCCTTGTAGTAATTGAAGGTATCAAATGAGGTAACATATGTGAATATGCTTTGTAAATTTTAACCCACCGTGAAAAACAAAAAAGGTCATTATTAGTGATCTAGAGATAGCAATCTGTAGTTCATAATCTCTTAGGCCCTTCTTTT